AGAAAACAATTTTGAAAATGATGAGCAAGTACCTAAGAGCCCATAGATAACTACATATAGAAAGGGTGCTAATACCTTCCCTTTCTATAATCTACCCCCCGTACTAAAAAATATCTCGAAAAATGAATTTTTCTATGCTTTTTTCCTTTTCTTATTGGATAAAATAAAAGTAGGTGGCGACTCTTGCTTACCGCGACATTTTGCGTACACAAACGCAAAACGCAAACCAGCAAAATTTCCTTAACGAAATAAGGAAACCACGATCCCAGTTCTGCCACCGTATCACAGGTGTGGTTCCTTCTAATTATTGGAATGCAACTCCTTGACTCCCGTTTTATCCCTAAGTGTGTATCTACATCAGTCGGCCTATAGGTGGTTGTCGATCTGATTTTGGGCGATCTAGTCCAAGGGTCGACTCTCTCTTGTACCTAAGATTATGGTAGAATGTGGATGTCGTTCCTTGGGAAATTTTCCTATTTAACCTCTGGTTAGGGTTCAGATTGTTCTTCCAGTCTAATCTTTCCTTTAGAACGACGTATTTGAGCGTGGATCGAAGGTAACAGATGGCCAATTCTCTTGCCACTGGAATTAGGGGATCCTTTCTTCCAAGCGTATGGTCGATGAGTCTCATTCGCTTTGCTGGATCGATCTTAGAGACTTGATCGTCAATTTCTCCAAGATGGGTGATGGCACTCGAGGAATGTTATTTTTGAGCAACCTCGTATGTACCCCAGCCCTGGTCGAACTACTGCATTTTTCGAGTAGATTGTATATGCGCCTAAACGTCTCTATTTCTTATGTGATCCCCTGATTTGATACTTCTAGTGAAGGTTAGACCTAGCAATAAGGAAAACATTAGATCCGATATGAGGAAAGTCCGCCCACTTATAGGAGATCCTTTGGTACCTATATAGGGTGCCTCGTTTAAGCCTATCCAAAAGCGGGACAGGAAAGGGCGGGCCAACTTGCATTACAAGAAAAACCTTATTTAGCCAGGAGTTTTTGCTGGGGGATAAACTCCTCACTGAATTTATTACGTTGTCAGGTGATGAACCCCTCGCAACGCACAAAACAAAAAAATATTTAATAACACTTTGGCGTGGGGACTCCCCTCAAATGCATTGGGGGGAATTTCAAAATTCAAAATTATGCATTGCGAGGGGTTAAGGAAAAGCGCGTCATAATACTTGGCAATTTACAAGGGGCTAACCCCCTCGCAAAACTATGTGAAATTTGTCAGGGGCTTTCATAGCTAAAAAGAGAATCTCTTTAATATGTCAGCGCATACATTTATTACTTGACAATTTTCCAGAGGCTAACCCTCTCACAAATTGCCACCATTTATATCCACAACACCTTTCCTCTTCTCACTTTAATTTTTACAACTTCTTTAACTCTTTTTTTTTTCTCTCTCTCAATATTTTTCCATTTCATCACTTTTCTCTCTTTATACTTTCATAACTCTAATCTCATCACTTTTCTCTCTCAATACTTCCATTTTATTCTCTTCTTTTTCTCAACAACAATCAATTAAATCAACTCATTTTCTCAACTCAAACACATTTAATCTCAGGTATTTTACTAAATAGTTGATTTATGTATCTATTTTATTTTCTAATTTAATTTATAATCTAATTTTTACTTTCATTTTTATTTTTTTAAATTTATTTTTTGTTTTTTGTTATATATATATATATATATATATATATATATATATATATATATATATATATATATATATATATATATATATATATATATATATATATATATATATATATATATATATATATATATATATATATATATATATATATATATATATATATATATATATATATATATATATATATATATATATATATATATATATATAGTATTGACTGATTTTTGAATTTTTTTTTTAAATTAACAAAAAAATTTAAAATATATTTATAAAAACCAATATGTTTAGGATTTTTATGTTTAGTATTTTTAGGATTTTTAAAATATAAATATTAAAAATAGTATGTGTAGTATTTTTATATTGATTCTATTAATTATGTTTGAATTTTAATTATATTATAATTATATTTATTCTATTAATTATATTTTAATTATATTGATTTTTGTTATATTAATTATACATTTTGCCAGGGGCTTAACCACAAGTAAATGGAAAATGCATATATTTTTCCAGGGGCTTAACCCCAAGTAAATGGAAAAGGCATACATTTTGTCAGGGGCTTATCTCCAAAGAAAATTTCTGACGCACTGAACCGTTAGCTGCACTATTAGCCTGCGCCTACGTCTGCATGTTGCAGACTTGAAAGTTGTGATTGTATTTTGCGAGGGGGTTAGCCCCTGGAAATTAGGCCACGTGGAAAGTCCCTCGCAAAATAATTTGTGACCTCCTGTTTTCTTAGGGGAATTGTCCCCGTGAAGGGCTTATCCCCTGACAAATTTCGCTCTTTTTTTTCTGTAGTATTAGACGCTCAAGTTCAAAAGTAATGTCCGACCCGTTTACTATCGAGTTGGCGGGCTGACCTGCCAATTTTTTTATATAGTTTGATTTACTACCAAAATTTACAAAAATTTTAATCATTACCAAAAAGGACGACAAAATATATTTTTTAACAACACATAATAGAACTCTAACAAATCTTAATGTTAATGTCATATTCTTTAACATAAACAAAACAACATAACTATAACACCAAAAACTATAAAACAAACACATTAAGACATAAAAAAATCCACTTGATTCAACCATGACATGAGAGTAACATCACAATACCAAAAAATCAATATACACAACCTAGTTAAAGACATATATAGACAAAAATCAGCAAAATAAACTAACACATACTAAACAAAGACAAGAAAGAATTAGGAACAAAAAATCAATCCCAAAAACTCCATGATAAACACTTCATCAATGTAAGATGTTTTATACAATGACTATGTTTTGTACACAAATAAATTATATTTACAAGGGTTGTGTTTTATACGCAATAAATTGCATTTTACTTGTGTTCTGGTTAATACTTAAAGCTTGTACATATGTAAGATGTTTTTAGTATCAATTGAAAGACTTAAACACGCGCATACATTGATTTAGTATTTTCCCTTGTAATGAACTTCTCTTCCATAAGAATATGGATTGAACTTAACTAGTGAATATACTTCCACATGTGCCCTCTAGGCCCCTCGTATATATAAAAAACAAAACCACTAACAAATTACAACACTCTTCAACCATGTATATCAACAACCTTGTATATCAACAGTAAAAAGGAAACTACATAGAATGACAATAACTACAAATCTTGCACTGTAATAAGTGCATCAATCACCTCAACAAGAAGAGAATTTAATAGATAAACTCGGTTGATTTTTTATTCCGCATGTCATCACCATCCAATAATTAATACACGCCTTTAACTATCACCATAAAAACTATGTTGTGATGATTTCCATTCATCTTAGAATCATACACATAGAAATTAGTTCAAAATTGATTATATTACATTAAACATGCTTTGAGATCATTCCACGTTTCAGTGAACATTTCTCTTGGAGACAACCGTCTTAGCAAAGATTAAACCGCTTAAATGGAAAGATTAAGTTGAAAGTTATGTGAATGTCTCTGAAGAGGAAAATGGGCCAATATAAAAGAAAATTATGGGTCTAAAGAATCGGTCAGATCCAGTCTATTTTGTCACTCCTAAGAAAAATATTTACTCATTGTAATTCTTTTTTATTATAAAAATCTAGAATATTAATGTAATGAAAATTCCTATCCTAATGCAAAGTTTCCTATATTCTCAAGTTGGATAATTTGATTGTATCGAGAAGTTTGTCAATATTATATGTTATATATTATTATAAATGTACTATCATTTAACTTTTAACATAATATTTCATAATTATTACTAAATCCGTGGTGTATTAAGTACATCAACTATCCACAAAAAATAAAAACTATCGCAAACAAATCCTTTCAGTTTTTTTTAAACAAATCTTTTCTCTTTAAAAGAAAAATTGTTAGTGTATTTTTGTTTTCTTATATATATATATATATATAAAACTGTATTTATTAACATACTCATCACTAGGAGGATCATCACAACATTAATGATTAATTTAAAAAAAGAAAAGAAAAGGAGAACATCAAATAATAATTTTCCATAATAAAAACAATATAAAAAGATTTGATTGTGTTTATATGAATCTCACTTATTGATTTTAAAAGATAAAATTCTACTAAAACCCCATTAATACAATCCTTCTTTATATTTCTTTTATTTTTAATCTTTAAAATATATTATATTTTGTTTTAATATCTGTAAAATCTATTTATATAAAAATTGTTTTTTGTTTCAGACAAATATCCAATCTAATTATCCTATCATATCAACTACTAAAAAATAATAGTACAAGTGATTTCATTAGATGTTTGTTTAAAAAAGATTCACACTCTCCTATTTATCTTTTATTCTATTTATTACAAAATTTAATTTCTAAATAAATTAAATTTGATAGCACTAAAACAAAACAAGTATATATTAGTATGCACCAAAATCAAATATATTTAAGTGAGTATGTAGTCTTTAGGGAAAAAAAGAATTTCAGATAAATTGTTTGGATACTATTTAAGTATTTTTGTTGGAAATAAAGTTTGGTCACTAAATCGTCTTTTTGATCATAAAATTAAATTAATTGATTTATTATGTAGATTGAACTAATTAAATAAAAAAATCAATTTTTTTTTTAAATTGTTCATACACTAGAAAAAATAGTATCTAATATTTATAAAGATTTAATGCATATTAAAACCTAAAATTGGTACAAATTTAAAAAGGAAAAATTAGATTTGGACACAATAATAACATTCCGATTTTGTTACCGAAAAAATCGGAATCATGGGTACAACACAACAAATAAATAACAACCTTGTATCTACACAAACACACCACCACCAACAACGTAAATTTAGGGCAAAAACAACAACAACGACAATGTCGTCATCATTACAATCGAATAACAACTCAGCTCCATGTGCCGCGTGCAAGATTCAGCGAAGAAAATGCACACAAGATTGCATTTTCAAACCCTACTTTCCTTCCAACAATCCTCAAAAGTTTCTCTACGTACACAAAGTGTTCGGTGCTAGTAACGTAGCAAAGCTACTCAACGAGGTGAACGAGTCGCAACGTGAGGATACTGTGAGTTCTTTGGCTTATGAAGCGGAAGCGCGTTTGAGGGATCCTGTTTATGGTTGTGTTGGGCTTATTTCGTCGCTTCAGGATAAACTCAAAAGCGTTCAGAATGAACTGAATAATGCCAAGAAGGATCTTGCGAGTTATATTGGTCCTCAGGCTTATCTTCCTCCTCCGATGCCGCCGTTGCCTCCGCTGAATATGAATGCTTTTTATACTCAGCAACAGCGTCAAGATGTTTTTGCATATAATGGTGATGATGAAAACTTGTATTCTAACTTTCAAACGCAATCTTTTCATCATCCCTTAATGGTTTCTTCACAACAACAACCCTATAATGGGTTTTGCTCCAACAAGGTTTTCAAGATGGAAAGACAAAACCTTCCATAGGGTATGATTACTGTTTTGCCCTTTGTTTTAAAGTATTGATTTTTATGGGTTTGTTGAAATGTTTATTCAAAACTGTTTCTTTACTTGTATGCTTTCGTTTTATGTTATTCAAATGCTTTGTTAATATTGTTTATGTAAATGGGTCAGTTAATTTCTACACTTTCTTTCCAAGAATGCATCTTCTTATTCTGGTTTTCTGCAGCTTTATTGTTCTTCTTCGTCTGAGGTATACAGGAGCAAAGAACCAGAAAGTCATACGAATTTGAGTTTGATTTGAACTTTTTAGAGACTCTGTGAAAGTACTATTTTGTTGCGGGTCTAGACCAAAATCATATCTATACATTAATATGCTTGGTACTATTTTTTCTTAGTTGTTAAGTATAATGTGGTTAGACAATATCGATGTCACGCACATACTTTCCAATCGCGGCGGCAAACCACGTTGATGTGGTAGCTTTTGCCAATGTATTGGGTTGCAATTTTGGTATAAACTAAAATCAAGAGGGCTATCTTGTTACAAACCATATAAAACGGTGTTAGCACCACAAATCTCAATTATTTTCAATGTAATGAAGTTTTATTATTAATTATTTTTCAATTATGTCTCAGTTGATACAATACATATTGCAACGATGATAATGACTCTAATCACAACATTCACAATGAACAAATTTGATTAATCTATTTTAAGTGTTTGTTTTTACGGAGATCTCATTGATTTGACATTTGATGTTTTCTAATATAGAAGACTTCAGAAATTGGTCAAATTTAATCCAAGAAGTGTATGAATTTTATTTTAAAAAAACTATTGTTTTTAAATTTTATAAGTTAAGAGTGGTTTTTTTTTTTCATTTCAAAGGACTCGGGAGAGGTGTAGAGTGCAAAAAGAAATTAACTTGTTTTAGGTTTTAGTCATATATTATTATCGGTCTTGTATTGTCTTTGAATTTTACTTCGTTCTTCTTAACCTATATTGTCCATAGGCTTTTTTTTAAAAATGTTTTTGGTTCCATTTTAATGTAATTTTAGAATTTCTTTTTGATCGTATTTGACCATAGTGATCATCAAGGTCTTACGTTGAGCTGAGGTTGAAAGCGAGATAGGGGGAGGGTACTTGCAAGACACTCTGATACCAAAGTAAGTTCAGGAAGAGTGCAAACAAGTGTGAGTATTTATAGTCTCCAGCGCTGGGGCAAAGTCCCCATTGTTGGGCCACGATGAGACCCAATAATGAAGACTGCCAAGACTTACGTTTGTATGGAGTCTAGAAAGTGGACTCCCCCCTGGTCAACTGCTCTGTGAGAATAAACGTTAGACCCGTGATTTTCGGAGGGCAGTTAAGATGACAGTGATGCAGATACGTGGGCCACGTTCCCCAACGGATGCGTGGGGAGTTGCCCAACGGTCCCTAGCTTGGGTTGCTTGCCTTTGGGCCTTATACAAGGGTGTTGGATTGGGCCTACCAACTGCTGGGCAAGTGCAGACCCAATCCAGATCAGGAGCCCTCCAAGTTATTTCCCTTAGGTGAATGGGTGATGACTTAAGTTCAACTTTTATGGTCGGGGAGAATTCGCTCGAGAAAGGAGGTTGAAGTCCTCTGAAAGAAAACGAGTTGTTGCCTGTGTCGGGGACAACCTGTTTGGCTGTGTCGGGAATCTCGTGGACAATCGAGCTGTGAGACCGACTGGGTCAGTTGTTTGTCCGGTGTTCGGCAGGAGTATATAAGCTACGAGGAGCTTCTACGAACTCCTTTTCGACAGGACCGTCTTCAAGGGGTTGGCACGCTGTCGAGCGTTATTTCGCCCTCGAGGCGAATTGCGACGAACATGCATGTATACATGTCTCAGCCATGGTGTCGAGCATTCCTTCGTGTGAGGTGTCTGCCTCGTGCTCGCGAAGGGAGTTGTGTTGAAGTCGGGGACTTGTTCGTCTCTTGAGAATGGATATGTGACTGATTGTTGGGCCACGTGGCTGTTGCTTTGGGGTGTCATCCCTTCATGGGGAGTCCAAAAGGCCCAATCCAATGATGACTTTTCGTGATGAACCTCGTGGGGTGTAAGCCACCTATAAAAAGGGGACACCTAGGTTTCATTTGTCATTTCTCAAGTTTCCTCCTTCAACTTCCCTTGCTCGCGCATGAATCCTCTCCTCTCAACTTTTCCAGATTTCTTTCAAGAATCCTTCATCCAAGTAAGTCATATCTCCTTAACAATGTATTTCCTTAGTGTTTCTAGATTAAATACCTAGTTTTTGCCTTGAATGGACGAATCTCGGATGAACATTCATGAGTTCGGCGATGAAAACTCATGAATGATCATTGAAGTTCATGAGTTTATGATATCAGGGAGAATCTCCCCGAGTAGTGGTCATGATGTCGGAGACAATTTCTCCAAATAGTTGGGGTTGACTCGGGCTTTTTTCCCGTTTGACTGGATATCCCCAACAAAAATGTAGTCCCGTTTTAATGTGTAGTTGGGGGCTTGGGTCGAGGTTCGCTCCTCGACCGCTTCATCGCCCTTTCACTTGATCCGCGGTGGAAGGTGAATTTGATAATGTTGAATTCACTATTTCCCCCTGCTTTTTAGGTATAATGGCACACTCGGTCGGGTATCATGCCCTGCCGGCCAACTACGAAGACGAAACCAATATCGAGGAGGACCCCTTGGCCTAGGTCGCACCTGAGCCTCGGAATAAAAGGTCGTGATTTTCACACAACGCGACAGACTCGTTCAACTGTCCGGAGGTTCAAGCTGAAGAGACCCTCGCCAACTGAATTCTTCAAACTCCCCATCGCAACCGGAGGATCTGCTCAACATATCCGGGAAAAAATTTTCCTATGTACGAGTTCACATTTAAAAAGGCGGGGATGCGTTTTCCCTTCAGCGATTCTCAAGTGAGGGTTTTTCAGTGGCTTCAATTGGCGCCCTCCCAACTTCACCCGAACACGTTGGCGTTCATACGGGCGTTTGAGCTCGTATGCCAGTATTTGCAGATAGGCGCTACAGTGCCCCTCTTCTTCTGTATCTTTCACCTTCAAAGGCAATCCATTGGAGGAGGGAAAGCGTGGGTGTCCTTCAAACAATTTGGGAAGCTTTTTAGGCCTTATCTGGAATTTGTCTGACACTTCAAAGAGAGGTACTTTGTTGTGAAACCTTTGATGAATGCAGCCATAGACTCCCTATACACCTGTGTGGAGGAAGTGGAGGATGGGCGACCAGTTACCCAGCTTGTGGCCAGATTTCCGCTCGAGTGGCAATGGAAACACTTCGAGCAAAGGCCTGAGTATTATGCTGTTAAGCCTGAGGACTTGGACGCTCAGGACCATCTCTCCAATGAGAAGCTGGTGGCCTATGTTAGTAGCTTCTCCCCTGCGAGGTGTGTGGACGTGAACAACAACCTCCTATTCAACAACAACTAGGAGTACTTCTTAGTTAATAGATTTTTCAACACGAAGGCCCTGCTCGAATGTTCCTTAGACGAGGAAGCCATGAGGATTTAAGGTAGGGGACACAACCGCGATGATTATTTTTGCTTGCCTTTCATGTGGGGACGTGCCCATGCTATTATCCTTATTTAACCAGTGACTGACGGTTTCTTTTTGATTGCACGTTGGATGGCGTTCTTCTCCAAGCACTTATTGAAGTTGAGACCCAAGAACACGTCCACCTCGGGGCCAAAGAAAGGGTCTCCCAGCTCCAAGAGCAAGCCAAATATGCTGCTCGTGCCAGTGGTTCCCCCCTCTTCATCAAAAACCCAGGTTCCCCTCAGCGAGCCTGCAACAAAGAGGAAACGCGTGGAAGACGTCGAGGGCATCATGCCCGAAGATGAAAAGGTCCCCCGAGGGGTTTTAGTGCTGCCTACTTGCTATTTAAATCGTGATCTCTTTAGCAGGGAGAACTCTTTGGGCAATCACGAGGAGGAGAGGGAGGTGATTCTGTCCGAGGATAAGGATGTCTGTCAAAAGAATTTGGAGGAGGATGTGGCCGCCATGATGAGGATGCTCGAGACATCCTTGATGCTGAATGATGAGGCCGCGAGCTCTCAGGCCTCCCTTGTCACAACATATGCTAAGATTCAAAAGCTGAAGGCCAAGAATGAGAAATTAAAGTGCGACATCCTCAACCACGAGTTAAAGTTCGAGGCCTAAGTTCGACTTCTCAAAGATCTGAATGAGCTGCGGCCCCAACTGGAGGCTGTGACCAAAGAGAACGAGCACCTGGTTGCCCGAACAAAATAATTGGAGGGGATCATGGCTCTGACTGAAGAAGAGACTGACACAGAGAAAGCCATGGTGTCCAGAGCAGAGCTAATTGCATGCATCCAAGTGCTCGAGCAAGACATCATTGACACACTCGACTATGGTTTCAACATGACCGTGAAGCAGTTGAGGATTCTGAACCCCGGGGTTGAGATTGTGGTCGAAGGCGCGGGGCCGTTTAATCAAGTGATTGGTGGGAAAATCTTTTATCCTCCCGAGAATAGCGTTAGGGAGGATGAGATTTAATGTTTCAGGGTCTGCGTGCCCGTTCTTGTTTTATTTTGGATTCGTGGCCATCGTGTCTAATTTTGTAATTATTTAAACAGCACCGACCTTCGTGGTCGGCATTTATGAATTCCTTAATTTTTGCCTTTATGCCTATTTATTTATAAATGATTGTCTGTCGTTGTGTTTGACTTGCTTAATGTATGAAAGTTAGCATTTCTAAGGTTGGAGATTAGTGCTCGACCTTGGTTATGATCGACACATGTCAAATGTGTCGAGGAAATGGAGTAGAGATCCGACGAGTTCAAGATCGCGGTCGGGATCTTAAGCTCGTGGCGTGAACAGCCCATCGTGAGCTGGGTGTTTTGCCTGTTGGGTACTTCGATAGATGATCTCGGTTTAGGTGTCCCTTTTGGGCTAAGGTTTTGCTTGAAAAATGAACAACAACCCAACTTTGTTGACATTTGGAGGCCATGTTCGTAACTTGACATGCCTACGTGGTCGAGCTCATCTTGTC